CTGTTGAGAATACCATGGCTTTTGGGTATGGCGCACCTTATTACTACTCAAAGTGACATCTTTTCTTTTGAATACTTTAAAGAGCTTTTTGTTTTGTTTTGTTTTGTTTTTTGCAGAAGCAGTTCGCATACTGCAATATGTCGTTTGATTTCTCAGCTACTGCTTCCATGAGTGATATAGTATGAAATGAGGAGTATGGTTATTCAATGTACTGCCTTGAGGTCCAAAGAAGAAATCAATAAAAGGAATAAAAGATGGGAGGGAGGGTGTAAAGAAAAATAGAAGAAAAAGGAAAACCAATGAAATAATTACATTCAAGAACCAGATTATAAAACAGGTTTAGGAATACTCATCCTAGTACCATATTTTTATATTTCTAAAGAATATATAAAGGCTATGCTGGATGGCTAAGCTTTGTCTCTCATACTTTGGACATACTGTCCGGAGGAAACAGTTGCTGGAGAAGGATGTCATGCTGGGTAAGGTGGAGGGTCAGAGAAAAAGAGGAAGACCCCTAACGAGATGGATTGGCCAGGTGGCATCATTGATGGACTCAAGTGTGGCAGCGGTAGTGAGGTTGGCCCAGGATCGGACATTGTCGTTCTGCTGTGCATGGGGTCGCTATGAGTCAGTTCCGACTCGATGGCACCTGACAACAAAGAATACACACTTTAACATGCTGGAATTTGCAGGAACTTTAGAGTCTGGGAGTTTCTGTGTGGTACAAATGGTTTATTGTTTGAGCACCAATGAAAGGTTGGCAGTTTAAATCTGCCCAGAGAACCCTTGGTAGAAAGGCCTGGCTATCTACTTCAGAAAGATTGCAACCATTGAAAACGCCATGGAGCAGTTCCACTGACACATGTGATATTGCCATGAAGTGGAAATCAGCTTAGACTTTAATTGTTGTCTTTGTAAAATGCCATTGAGTCTGTTCCAACTTATGGTGATGCTGTATAGGGTTTCGAATGAGTGGCTGATGGGTTTGAACCACCAACCTTGTGGTTAGCAGTCTGGTGCTTATCCCACAGTGAGCGCCACCCCAGGATGCCAGTAATAACCTCAAATTAAATTCCTTTCACTACAACTTTAATTCTCTATCTCTTAGCATTCTTTCATGTAAAATAGAGGAAAGTACAACTTAGTCACTAGCTAACATGCATACCAGATGCCTTACAAGCATTTTACTATTATTTTATGTTTTCTAATATATGTGTATATGTATGCTATTCTGCTATTTTATATTTACAGTGCTGTAGGATAAAAACTTGACAATAAGGACAGTTTGAACTGCCAGGTCAGCTGCTCAAACTTACCAGTCACTCCTTGGAAACCCTGTATAGGGTCACTATGAGTCAGAACTGACTCTACAGTACTTAACAACAACAATATCTAGAATTTTTTTTGTTGTTTAATAAATACATTATCTGAAACCCAGATACTTGACTATTTTATGGTAAATAATTGTATCTTCATAGAAATCATGTCATTTTTTGCAGTTAGTAACGAGCTGTTTGAAAAGGTCAAGAGAATTTTTAAGGCTATTCTGTGTTATTAAACTTGATTTAACAAAACAGAGTCAATGCTTACCTATGAATCCAAGAGTTGAAAACTCAATGTAAAACCAATTATTTGTAGTGATATTATTTAAAAATTGTGTTATTTTTGTAAAGTACATATATTTTGCTATGATATCATCTTCTAGCTGGAAAAAGAAAGAAAAAGTCATTAGTGAATGAGCTATGTTAGCTTGAACTGTGAAAATATTATAAGTAGAATTGCAAAAAAGTGTCATTGGCCATCACTCACAGAAACTCTACTTTTCAGCTGGTTCAATAATTCACTGCAATGACCACAAAGAACTCAGACACCACACTCACAGTTACGGGGTTTATTAAGGAAGTGTAAACATTACAACTCAGGGTCAGATATATTCAGGGCACAGTTCTTCCAGTCACATTAGACTCTCCTTTGCTGTGCCCACAGGCAGGCCTCTGTCGAGCACTTGGTCCCTTGGCCTGGCCTTTGCCCTGCTTTAGCAATGTTACTAAAGCTCTTTTCAGGCTGTGATGAATGTCCACAGGGCACACCAGTTCACCATAAGCTTCAACCTGAAGGCACTCAGCTCTAACTCCCTGGGTCAGCAAACCTAGCTTCCCAGTCAAGTGGCTGCAGGTATCCCACTTCCTAAGTGAGCCTCCTACAAAAAGGCACTCAGCTTTACTTGCTCTGTGACCCAGAAGTTCACTGCTCTGTCTTGTGCTCTGGTTCTAGTTCTGGGGGTGCAGCTCCTCTGCTACTCCTCTGAAGTCACAGCTTTCAATGCGCAGGGATTTCAGAGTACAAAGGACGCTCTTCTTTAATAGCAGTGAAATCCCCCTTTCTGCTTCTGAGATGGCTCATTTATACATGTTCGAGTGAGTTCCTAGATTTTACAGTCACAATTAACCCATTAACAACCACTCACAACTGAATCATATAATCCTATGAGCATCTTCTCCCACTGTCTCTTATCCATCAGAGAAAAAAAAACATTGTTTAGTGTAGAAGAGCCCATACGATGTAATTCACTGTACCTCAAGGATGCACTGAGAGAATGTTTTGTGTGTGTGTGTGTGTGTGTGAGGCAATCATTTTATTTTTAGTTCAATTCACTGATGGTATTCACTGTTAACAATTTTCATTTTCTGGTTCTGAGATTAGCTAGTTCAGAGATTATCTTTTTTGCTTTCCTAAATTCTAAACAATATGTAACACTCAATCTAAATCTTTGAAAAAGTCTCTTTGTCTGAATCTACTTTCATACTTAGAGATACTCCAGTTTCCAGTTTAAGACTAACTACACACTTGAGATGATAGGTGTCATGTTCTATCTCTAGATAACGTAGTTGGCAAGGAGATGACAAACGCAAACTGGAAACTCTCATTACATCTAGCTAGTTAGAATGATGGTGCAAATAAACTGAGATAGTCCCCAAGAATGGAGGCTGTTTTCTTTGAATACGTATTATGCATAGCCTGTTGTTGTTGTTTAGTGTCACTGAGTTGGTTCTGACTCAGCAACCCTGTATAGGGTTTCCAAGGAGAGGCTGGTGAGTTTGAACCGCCAACCTTGCAGTTCAAACCGACTTTGCGGTCCAGTGTTTATCCTGGAGCGCCACACCATAATCCAGAGATTGAGAGATGTTGAAGTCTTTAAGCACATCACCAGGCTAGCATGCTATGGTGCTTTAACAACAACTGTGGAGTCCTGGTATAATGCTGCATGACATGCACTGGACCCCAAGGTCAGTTTGAATTACAAAGGTTGGTAATTCAAACTCACCAGCTGCTCCTGTGAAACCCTATACAAAGTCCTTATGAGTCAGAACTAACAAGACAGCACTTAACAATAACAACAACTGCACTAAGCCCTGCACCAGGAGTAGTGACTAAGAATGAGCAAAAAGGTATGGTTCTGTCCTTGTGGAACTTACAGGCTAGTGGCATAAAAATCTTCCTGGGTGGGTAAACACATTATGTTCATATTATTCTCTGACCTTTTCTGTGTTTTATCATGGTTTGAGGATGGCAGAAAGTCCATACAATCAAATGATGCACCACGGTTTGTTTCTACTCACAGAATAACATGGCGAGGGCACCAGCAGCCTGGCAGGTGTCTGACCCGCTGGGAATCTCCTCAAGGAGAGGTGCTCAGGGGAACTTTCAAACCCACTCTCTCTCTTACACCAAAGTTCAGCCCGAGTGGTCACCAGGCACTTCTTCTAGGAGGTGCTTCCCACTTTGGTGTAGGACGTCTGTTTAGTCTGTGTCCTTTGATCACCATACCCAGGAAACTCTACATACTGGGCTTTGTGAGATACCTTATTGACACATCACCCTAAATGAGGGTCTTTTTTAAACTCATTTGATATCACACTCTGTATGTTTAGAATTTTTAATTATAAAAATCAAATTAAAAAAGGGAAAAGCAACGAAAAGTCTATAGCTTTCTTTATGAGCATTAGCACATTTCCTGTTAAATTTATTCCTAGGCATTTCATAAACTTTGCTTTTTTAAGAACGTATTTGCCACTGGTTATGGATGATATATAGCAAAACTATGTGGTTTAATGTTTAGATATTTATCTTAAATCTGGCCATGTTAATGAAATCACTTTTTAGTTTTAATGGCTCTTACATTAATGCTCTTAATTTTCCTTAGTAGATAACACTTTATCTAAAATGATCATTATGTGTGTGTCTCTCTCCCACATATTTCTATTCTTGGTTAATGGCATTGTTTGAGACCTCCAGAGAAATGATAAAGACTCATCTTGTTTCTAATTTAAATGGGAGTGATAACATGACATTTGCTATTATACAAAGTGTTGGCCTTTGGTTTTAGATAAATTCCTTGTATGATGGTGTTGAAATGCATTTCTATTCTGTCCAGCAAGTGTTTTCTTTTTTAAAGCAGGAATGGGTGTTACGTTTTGTCATAGCTCTCAGTATTTATTGATGTAGCTATTGGCCTTTAATCTAGTAAATGTGGCAAACTATAGCTGCAGGACCAAATCTGCAGTCTTCTTTTATTAATACATTTTATTGGATTACTGCTATGTGCATTCATTTGCATATTATCTGTGACTGCTTTTGTATTACAAAAGCAGAGCTGAGTAGTTGTGACAAAGACAGTATTGTCTACAAAGCCTGAATATTTACTATCTGGCTTGTTACAGAAAAGATTTGTCAATCTCTGCTGTATTATATTAATAGATATTCTGAGTTCAACATCTCTTACTTTTTTGCAATAAGCCTTACTCTTTTAAACATTGCTGGATTCAATTTGCCAGGTTTTTTTTGTTTGTATGTATATTGTTGTTGTTGTTGTCAGTTGCCATCGAGTTGGAACCAACTCATAGCGACCCCATGCACAGCAGAACGAAACAATGCTCGATCCTGGGCCAACCTCACCACCGCTGCCACCCCCGAGTCCATCAATGATGCCACCTGGCCGATCCATCTCGTTGGGGGTCTTCCTCTTTTTCTCTGACCCTCCATCTTACCCAGCATGACATCCTTCTCCAGCGACTGTTCCCTCCTGACAACATGTCCAAAGTATGAGAGACGAAGTTTAGCAATCTTGGCCTCCAAGGAGCACTCTGGCTGTACTTCTTCCAAAACAGATCTATTGGTTCTTTTGGCAGTCCATGGCACTTTCAGTATTCTCCTCCAACACCACAATTCAAAGGCATCAATTCTTCTACAATCTTCCTTATTCACTGTCCAGCTTTCGCATCTATATGAGGTTATTGAAAATACCATGTCTTGGGTCAGGCGCACCTTAGTCCTCAAGGTGACACCTTTGCTCTTCAACTTTAAAAAGTTTCTGTGCAACAGATTTGCCTAATGCAATACGTCGTCTGATCTCGACTGCTGCTTCTGTGAATGTTGATAGTTGATCCAAGAAGAATGAAGTCCTTGACAACTTCAATCTTTTCTCCATTCATAAGAATGTTTTAGTTTTTGCATTATTCTTTTAAAATTTGTTATCATGGACACATTTCCCCTACAGAAACAATTGGTCATCTTTATATATATATTTCTACATTCTGAGACAATTTGAATATCATAAGAAGTATCTACCTATGGCATATTTGAACTGACCCAAAAATGATATGGAGGTAAATATTTGGTAATTTTATTTTTTTGTTTTATTTTATTTACATTTTCTAACTCTAATAATGAAGGAACACTTGTAATGTAGTAGATTACAAGCAAGGCTGCTAACTGCAAGGTCAGCAGTTCGAATTTCCACAGGAGAAAGATGAAATTTTCTGTTCCCTTAAAGATTTAGTCTTAGAAACCCTATATTTCTAAGGGTCTCTATAAGTCGGAACTGACTCGGTAACACATAACCACCACCACGACCACTCTATTAATTGTTGTTGTTGTTAAGTGCCATTGAGTCAGTTCCAACTCATAGTGACCCTGTATTGGGTTGCTGAGGAGCAGCTGGTGAGCTTGAAAATCTGTTCTTGTGGTTCAAACTGACCTTGTGGTCCAGCACATTAACTCACAGCACCACACCAGGACTCTATTAATTGATAATATAATTTTTCTATAAAACTACATTTCAGTTAGAATTACATTTTTATTGGCAATCATGGTATTCTTTTGTAAGTTTATTCCTTTGTATATGTTGTTATATATTTCCCTTTGTTCTTATTTCTAATGCTCTTTATATTTTATCTCCTGTTTTGCATCAGCCTTGCCAAGGACTTGTCTATTTTACTAATGTTTTTAAAGAACAGATTTTTTATATTATTTATTCTACTACAGTTTGTTTAGTTTTTTAGTGTTTTTTTTTTTTTTTCTTTTCCTTTCTTTCTTTTCCTTACTTTATTTTTCCAGTTACTTTCTGTTGTATTTCTTGAATTTTCTGGTTTTTAAAGTATAGAAGCTAGACTTTTTCTTGTGCAGTTTTAGTATGTACGGTTAGATTTTGAGATACATATATATATGTATATACATATATATATAGTATTCTCAATGCCAACAATATTTCAATAGTTGGAAATTTTGTTTGAATTTTTCCTTTCATTTATTAAATTGTTCTATGATTATATTTTTAATTTTCTTGCAGTAGATGGATATTTTTGATATCCTGTTATTTAGTAAGGTAAAAAACATGTTATACCTAGGCTTAAAATGTTTCAGTGGTACCCCTAGCACTTGGTTTAAGATAAAATCTACTTACTCTGGCCCATACAAAGAACGGCTTTTGTTTTTCTCTCCGAATTCATCCCCCACTCCTTTGTCTCTGTGTAACCTGTATTTGTTACTCTGGCCTTAAGTTCAAGTTCCTAGATATTCTTTAATGCTAGGAAACCTGTGCACTTGCTCACTCACGGCCCAGATTTTCCCCTTCTCATGACTTAAATCTCAGTTTACATGTCACTTCCCCAGATAGCATTTCCTTCTAGACTAGGTCCCTCTGGTTACCCTCTATCCCAGCAGCTATCTTCCTTTCCCATTGCTGCTGTAGCAAATTACCACCAACTTTGTGACTTGAAACAACACACACTGATTCTTGAACAGTTCTGGAGGTTAGAAGTCAGAGACAGTTTCACTGGGATAAAACCAATGCAATGTCATGCTCCCTATGCAGACTGCAGGGAACAATCCATTTCCTGGCCATTCGCAGGGGTACTAGTGGTATAGTGGGTTATACATTGGGCTGCTAACCACAGGGTCAGCAGTTTGAATCCACCAGCTATTTCCATGGGGAAAGATGAGACTTTCTGCTCCTACAAAGATTTACAAAGCCTCGGAAACCCTGCACAGGGTCACTATGAGTTGGAACCAACTTGATGGCACTTAACAACAGCAAAGGCCATCTGTACCACTCCTTCTTCCATCTTCAAAGCCAGCAGGGTAGTATCTTCACATCTCTCTCTGCTTTCATTATCACTCTGTCTTCTATTTCCTCTGACTTACTAGCCTCTTCCTGTGATTACATTAGGTTTACCTAGATCACCCATGATAATACTCCCATCTGGTAGCGTAGGGGTTATGAATTGGGCTGTGAATCACAAGGTCAGAAGTTCGAAACTACCAGATGTTCCACGGGAGAAAAATGAGGCTTTCTGCTCCCGTAAAGATTTACAGCCTCAGTAAACCCTGTACAGCACATAACCACCATAACCACCAAGATCCTTAATTCAATGACTTCTGCTAAATCCCGTTTGCCACAAAAGGTAACGTTCACAGGTTTGATGTATGCTGACATAGATATCTTGTTGGGAGACATTATTCATCCTAGTGTGTTATTGTTGCTGTGAAGTGCTGTCAAGTCTGCTCCAATTCATAGCGATCCTGTATAGGGTTTCTGAAGAGCAGCTGGTGAGCTTGAACTGCTGACCTTGCAGTTCAAATGGCTTTGCAGTCTGGCGCATTAACCCACAGCGCCACACCATAACTCCTCATCCTATTACGGCATCCTATTTATTTTCTTCTGAGCATTAATACCCATGTAGGTTGATAGTTCAAGCTCACCAACTGCTCCTTGGAAACGCTATACAGGGTTGCTATGGGTCAGAACCAACTCAACGGCACTTAACAACAACAACAGCAACATTGCTATCTTATTACTTTTTGTTTCTGGTCCCTATGCAACTAGAATGTAAACTTATAACGACAGGTGTTTTGTCTTTTTCTTCAGAATTTAGCAGAATGTCTGACACAAAATGAGTACTCAAAATATATGTGTTGAGTTTCATGAACCTGTGGGCAGAGAGGTGTAGGCAGTGCATTGCTTATGTTTTCTAATTTTCTTTGTGGATTAGTATATAATCAATTTTAAGCTTACTATGGCAGTTTATTATGATAACCATTTTTTAAATTCTGTAAGGTAGAGGGATACAATAGGAATACAATAATAAATAAAGGAATTCAGGGAGAAAGAGAGTAAAGAATGCCTTAAATTTAAATTATATGTATCAAGGTCTTACCTGTAAATAATACATGGCCTTAGATTTGGCATACAGCATCAAAAAACAAAAATCCAATACTTGTTTGACTTCTCCACTAAAGATAAACAATAAAATCGGTTAAATTTTCTGTCATTTAATTTTTTACTTACAAACATATTTTAGTAAATAAAAACATGGGCTTTTAAAAATAATTTACCAACACAAAGCAGTATCTGTTGTTATTTAGTGCCATCTCATAGAGAACCTGTCTGGATAGGATTTCCAAGGAGTAGCTGGTGACTTTGAACTGCCTACCTTGTGGTTCAGACCAACCTTGTGGTCCCGTGCTTTATCCCACAGCGCCACATCAGGACTCAAAAAGCATTAAGTAAAATCAAATATGTTTATACTAAAAAGTTATACTAAAAAAGGTTCCCCCTTCTTTATTTAGCAGACGAAGTCTGCATTTGCTAATCAAAGATGAAAATAATCTATTTTATAAATTGTTGTTAAAGTGCCATTGAGTCAGTTGTGACTCATAGCAACTTGTATATAGCTTCCAAGGCTGTAAATCTTGGTGGAAGCAATCTCATCTTTCGCCTGCAGAGCATCTGGTGGACTTGAACCAGATGCCTTGTGGTTCGCAGTCCCGTGCTTATCCTATAGAGTCACCATGCTCCTATTTTATTTGTAGGTTTAAAGGGTTAAATCTAAAAGTATTGTTATTAAATCACAGAAATCTGTATCAAACTAAAATATCAATATATGAAGCTATTGTTTCTTGACATATCCTCCAATGAGGTTTATACATTTCTGAAGGCAATATTTCTGCCTCTCTAACCCTTGCCCTGGAGTCTTGGTGTGGCGCTGTGGGTTAATGCTCCAGACTGCAAAGCCATTTGAACTGCAAGGTTGGCAGTTCAAGCTCACCAGCTGCTCCTCAGAAACCCTATATAGACTCACTATGGATCTGACCAACTTGGTGGCACTTAACAACAACACTTAATAACAACAACCCTTGCCCAAAGCAGGCAGGTGGCACTGTAGGATAAGCACTGGACTGCAAATTGCAAGGTTGGCAGTTCAAGCCCACCAGCCACTCTGCGGGAGAAAGATGAGACTTTCTGCATCCATAAAGACTTACAATCCTTTTCTTTGCCATTCTTACGGTGCTAGTGGCATAGTGGGGTTATGCATTGGACTGCTAACCATGAGGTTAGCAGTTCAAACCCACCAATCACTCCACAGAAGAAAGATGAGTTTTTCTGCTCCTGTAAAGATTTACAGCTTTGGAAACCCTATACAGGTTGCTATGCAAGGGCAGCACATAGGTAGCTAGGTAATCCTTACCCCAAGGGTCTTCTGTCTTTAGTTAACATATGCCACATCAGAATGCCAGTTTTGGCATCCTCAAGGGACTCAAATCGTGCTTTTAAATGCTTTTTGAGTTTTAGGAACAAAGTGAAGTCTGAAGGGGTAGGTGGGTTAAGGTTTCCCAATGCAATGTTTGTAGAGCTGTGCTTGCTACCATGGAAGAATGAGCAGGTGCGTTGTTGTGATGGAAAGAACTTCCTGGCCTTTTTCTCACCAATGCAGTTTTTAATTTTCTTAAAATTTCTTCATAATAAGCCCCTGTGATCATCCTGTGTTCTTTGAGAAAATTAAAAAAACAAACCAGTTGCCATAACCTTCTGAAGTGGCCTCCCTGCCTTGAATTTAACTGGCCCAGCAGACGCTCTTTAAAATCATTGTTTTGATTGAACTGTTCTTTTGAAAGCCTCCTAATGAGACTTTAAAAAGTGGATTACTGAAAGAAGTTGTCTGCAGCCATTCATTGATCGCTTATTTAAACACATTTTGTTTGGCATAAACCCATGCCTGTATGAACTGGAAACCTAGTAGCAATGCTTCTTGATTTATTCTCAGATCTAATACCCACCAGTCACTCCTTGGAAACCCTATACAGGGTGGCTATGAGTTGGAGCAGACTCAATGTCACTAACAACAACATAATAAGCATAATATTATTTATGTCCTTTGGCATTGTTCACATGAAAGAACAAAGAAACTTTATTCTAATTGAATACTAAGCTAGACACTAACCATTCCCTGACAATACATTATGCTGCAGTCCTCACCCAACTGGGTCTCATGGTCTAATACGGAAAAATAGAGGAAAAAAGTAATTAGGTTAGATACTAACAAAAATGACAACCTTGTAATAAGCTCTTAGTGTCGCACTGTAGGATCCGCATTGGACAGCGAACTACAAGGTCAGCAGTTCAAACCCACCAGCTGCACCCCGGATACTCTACACAGGGTTACTACAAGTCAGAACCAACTCGACAGCATGTAATAACAACACAGTAACAACATAATAAACTGGGGTGGGTAGCAGGAGCTAGGGCATTCAATGCAGAGGGGCAGTCTCTGAAACAACATGGCAAGTGTGAGAGCCTACCACTTTCATTTCAGAGCACAGATAGTTGATCAAAAAAGTCAAGGGATGATGATAGCCAGACTGGCAAAGACCCTATCATGAAGGCTCTTTTATTACATATGAAAAACCTTGTATTTGACCTCAACATGAGAAAAAGATTCTTCTGGTGATGCCATGGAGAGGAAGAGGCAAGAGTAAACAAGAACTATTACGACTAGTTGCTTTCCAGTCAGCTCCAACTCATGGTGACGTGATGTTAAGCAGAACGAAACATTGCCTAATCCTGGGTCATCTTTCAGGCTAGAATTAGAGACAACAAGTAGATCTCTAATGAAGACGGCATGAACTAAGTCCCAGACAGTGGAATGGTCATGGGACATCCTAGTTAATTGCTTTGTTGTTGTTGTTGTTAAGTGCTGTCGAATGCTTATGACACATAGCAAGGGTTTCCAAGGAGCAGCTGGTGGGTTTGAACCACTGACCTTTTGGTTCACAGTCAAGTGCTGATCCTACAACACCACATAAGTGGCCTAATGACATGTTGGATGCTTCTGTTTGATCTCCTAGTTTGTTGGGTAGTGCTTGGAGTCTTAAAAGCTTGCAAGCAGCCACCCAAGGCACTGCAATTGATCTCTTTTTACCCGGGACAATAGAAGAAGAAGGTGCGTCAAGAATAAGAGGAGGATCTCTATGTGTGTCTAACTGCCCTCATTAACAACTGTCTTCCTTTGCCATGAGACCTGAAGAACTAGATGGTGCCTGGCTACCATTTTCTGAATAATTTCATCGAAAATTCCATAGAAGAATCCTGATCAAAGGGGGGAATACACAGAACAGAATTTTAAATTCTCATGGATGTCAGCGTTATGAAGGTTGGATGAATCCCTGAAATGATTGTCCTGAGACAATCTTTAAACCTTAACATAGAAATATCCCCTGAGGTCTTCTTGAAGCAAACAGTAATTTACCTTAACTAGTAAAAAATGTCTGTCTTGAGCATTGTGCTGTTTTAAGAACTATCTATTTTGTTCCAACTGGCAATAAATGAAAAGATAAGAATCCGAGGGGGTAGTGAGTTCGTGTTAATGAGGGAAGAACAACTCATAAAAGGAGTTGCAAATGTTTGTACAACTTGAAGAAATGTAATTAACGTCACGAAATGGTACATGTAGAAACTAGTGAATTGGTGTATGTTTTGTTGTATGTATTCTCAGCAATGATAACAAAGTAAAAAAACAGTTCTGCTCTGTGACATGGGGTCACTATGAGTCAGAATCATCTTGAGGGCAACCAACAACAAAAATCTCAAATACACAACTTACCTGCCTGTCACACACACAAAAAAATCAATGATAGACACATAAGGGATAAAGGAAAACACAGAGTTTTGGATAACCCACAACATTCTGAGCCAAATAACTGGGTATAATGCAGAGCCTTTAACGAAAAACAAAATAAAGCAAAACTTTTAATTTCTAGATACTGATATGCCATTTATAATTCAAAAACAGTACAAAGCTAGGAGGTTTCCTGGGGTGAAAACTTAAAAAAAAAAAAAAAAAATTCTTACATGTCTTTCTTATGGAACTTTGAGGAACCAAATTATTACATTCCCCATAAACCTACCACATTTATAACCAAATAATAACAATTTGTTGTATGTGAACAGAACTTTTAATTCTGCAAAGTTCCTCCATAAGTACTATCATATTTTAGTCTCAGAAGGCTTCTTGTAAAGATGCACTGTAGATTTTTGCTGTTGTTAAATGCCATCAAGTCGGTTCTGACTCATAGTGACCCTGTATAGATAGGGTTCCCAAGGAGCCGCTGGTGGTTTTGTGGCTCACAGTCCAGTGCTGATCCTACAGCGCCATATTTAATATCTATTAAAAACAAGATTTTATTGTCATACACACTAGAAAGTTGGGGAAGTCAAGGGGGGGGGGGGAGACTAAATTGGCTTCTTATAATGATTGGCCAAATTGTATTCAAGGAACTTGAATACAAGTGTGAATGGTTAATAATCCCAGGATTTTTTCCCCTTCATTATGCCTTTGCTGTTGTCTGTTTATAATTTGAATATAGAAAATCAGTGGTGTCCTGGTCAATGTTTAACAACTGGCTCTTTGTCATGGACATGAAGCCTCGATTTATAACTTGTGCATTTCCATGGTGTCAGTCTTTCTACCATGCTGATTTCATGCTATGAACTTGATGTCAATCAACACAGAGTCCAGAGAATTTGTAAAAAATTATCTCTTACAAACCACTGGGAGCTGGCTTCAACACACTACTGTGTTTGAAATAGTATCCATTAGATGTTAATTCCAGTATTTTCTCAGATGAGACTTATTATTTAAGGATAAAATCTTCCAAATATGCCTTACCTCATGCTATTTTTTGATTCCTTTGCATTTATCATGTTGGGATATAAAGAAGTTGGTATTGAAATGACCTCTAAGGATCCAGACATCACTTGCCTTTTGAATCTATAAATAGAAGTTAATGGAGGCTTGTAATTAAATATTTGATTTATCAAAGTAATAGAAATGCTTGAACAGATTTTCCCTATCCATATCCATAAAATATTTTGATTGGAATTCTTTTACATGCTGATATAGAATTCCACATCATAACACATTAAGCCAAAGTACTTTTTAAAAATAAAGGCAGGCATACACAAACATCAGAATATATTGTATTAAATCATTTCCTCTCACAAAAATTATAGACATGCTGAATTTTTTGAAAGTTTATAATCAGCTATACACTCTGATGGATCCAAGATAATGGATCTGATGGGTTAGGATGATGTAAAATGGCAAGAGAACAAGAACATTAGGTCATTTTTAATGCATAATTTTGAGTTCCATAAGAGTCCTGTTAAATTGCAATGTGCCTCCCTGAGCAAGAAAGGATCAAGTCTAACCTTTGTCCACAGTCAGCGGAGAACTATGCATTCTTTAGCATCTTTATTTTTTTTTTACATTGTTATTTTATAGGCTAGCAGGATATCATTAAAATACATAAAATATTGTTCACATGACTCTAATAAAATCTCCTGCACTATCACTGTACACAATGGGGGATTAAGTAGAGTATTTTAAATGGCTTTTTTTAAAGAGATAGAAACAAATAATTTAAATGGGATCTAAATGTAGGTGTTGCATTATTTGTTAAAATTCTTAAGTCTCAAAGAAATATGCACTTTCTACTTTTAAGTGAAATAGCAGGGCTTACGAGTTAAATATGCACGATCTTAACAAAGTGCAAAACAGGCCATCTTTGCTTTGTGTGGTATTCCAATATACATACTGTAATTTTAGTCACTATGAATAATTACATAAAGTATAAACTTCACAGCTAGCTCTTGAGTCCATAAATCACAATATGAAAAACAGATACACATTATGATCAGTGATCAATCACAGCACTTCTATCTTCCAATGTCTATTGATCATTGCTTAGTATATACATGTCATTCAGTTTGCCCACAGATACTAAAGTGTACTGGTATGCCTCGGAGATATTGCGGGTTTGGTTCCAGGACATGCATTAAAAGGAAATAATGCAATAAAGTGAATGGCCTTCCATTTCTTCACCCGCAAAATTGGAATATTAACTCATACCTTGTCAGGAAAGAATAAGGAGCTCTGGTAGCCTAGTGGTTAAGAATCAGGCTGCTAACCTCAAGGTCAGCAGTTCGAAACTACCAGCCGTTCTGTGGGAGGATGAGGCATTCTGCTCCTGTAAAGATGTACAGCCTTGGAAATCCTATACTGGGTCATTATGAATTGGAACTGACTCCATGGCACACAACCACCACCACCACCACCAGAATTGTTCAAAATACCTGCACAAATTCTTTCCACACTGTGCAGTAATAGAAGATCTCCTGGTTAGTTATTCAATTTTACTTTGATGGATTGTAAATGGAGAAGGAGAGGACACGAGAGTCTTACTGGCTGCCCTCGGATTTTATGGTTTATCAAATGAAAAGGTTTTTTTTTGTTGTTGTTTAAGTTAATTCTAAATACTTCTTGTGAGTCAAAAATTCTGGTAAGAAAGAAAAGATTGGGGTGTTTTGTTTGCTTTTTGGTTAAAATTAGGAACAAAAATTTTACATTTTTAAAACTTTTTATTGTGAATTGAGCAAATGTTTACAGAGCAGATCGTAAGTTTTACACGTAATAAATCATACACTTTATTTCATTTCAAAGATTGCAATCCCTCCATGTAACATCACTTTTGTTACTTCCTCCCTGTGATTCTTCTTTCTATTCCACCTTCTTCAACCCTTCTGAATTTTGTACTTGGAAAAATGCTCCCCTTTTTATCTTGAATAGTTGACCATTGAATGGTATACATATCTCACTAGTGGTGTTGTCCTCCCAATATAATTATCTGTTGATTGGCTGAAAATTGAAGATAAGCTGAGTTCCAGACCTGAAGGGTGACCAAGGGCCACAGCCATGCATTTCTCCAGTCTCTTTCTGACCAGTAAGCCTGGTCTTTTATATAATTTTGAGTTTTGTTCCACATTTTCTCCTACTCCATCCAGGACCTTCTAATATGAGCCCTTTCAGAACAGCTGTCAGTGGTAGCTGCACCTCATCTAGTCCTTCTGCTCTCAGGGTCATGAACAATTATTTCATTGGACTAATCGATTCCAACTGTCTTCAGGTTTCATGACTCTTCTTTCTTCTGTGCATGGAGAGATCAGTAGTTGCACCTTAGACAGCTGCTCAGGAGTTTTTAAGATTCCAGTCACTACTCACCAAGTAGAATGTTGAGCATTATCTTTGTGGACTGTATTATGCCAATTGACTATGGTGTCCTCTGAGACTGTGGTCCTGAGTCCCCAGGCCCAGCAACATATCCCCTCAAGGTGTTTGGTAATGTTTAAAAAACTTTCATAATTTGTCCCCTGTATATTTCACCTTGGAGTTCTAGCGGAGTAGTTGGTTACACACTGGACTGCTGGCTGTGTGGTCAGAGGTTCAAATCCACTAGCCGCCCAATGGAGAAAGCTGGGACTTTCTGCTCTCATAGAGATTTACAGCCTAGAAAACTCTATATAGGGTTGCTATGAGTTGGAACCGACTCAACAGCACATAACAACATGTTCCATAACATTCATGGATACATTTACAGCAAAGGTATGTTGTTGTTGTTGTCAGGTGCCATCAAGTCGGAACCGACTCATAGCGACCCCATGCACAGCAGAACGAAACAATGTCCGATCCTGGGCCAACGTCACTACCGCTGCCACACTTGAGTCCATCAATGATGCCACCTGGCTGATCCATCTCGTTGG